TTTCCGACCGCGACGTCGCTGTGAAGGTTTCCTTCGGCATCCCTACAACAGTTCCCGGCAATGCCAGTTCGACATCTACATCGCCAACATTTCCTGGACCGTTTCCAGCTCCACTTGCCGAAAGGGATCCTAACGGGGGGAACGTAGAGCACTTGAAAGGTGCAGGTGGCGGAGATGTCCTTACGTTTTTCGGTGGTGGCGACCTCTTAAGCTTGGAGCTTCGATCAAAGGGGTTCTGCTCCACTTCAGACGCTTCATTTTGCTCATTTGAGCTCCTATTCAATGATGTGTTTGTAGGATTTTTATTAAAACTCATCGTGTTTTCTCCAGCGCATCGTGCGGCAAGGAGCGGCCCGGAATCAGTCAGGAACGGGTATACCCTCGGGGACCAAAAACCCCTACCCCGGTTCCCCGGGGCCCGACCTCCGTTTGCCCAGCACCGGATACCTGACATGCCGGGGGTCGCCCGTCGCAATGCAGAGCCCGACCTCTGCATCCATGCCGCACTCCCTGACCAAGGACCGAAGTGGCTGGTTTCTCACGACCCACTGATAAAACCCATCGGCAGTGCAGAGCACACATCAACCCCTGCAACACAACAGGGGCACTCCCAGGGACTCCCAGTGAGTTCGTCGGTCACCCTTTTAGTCGCCTCTTACGACAAGCCCGAGAAGGCTGCGGTGCTATTCTAACCCGGTACCGCACGGGAAGATCAGCATTAACGTGATTACAGAAGAAGATTGATTGCGTGTACAACAGAGATTAGGATTTAATAAGCGAATTATGCTATTTCACAACAAAAAATAAACAAATAAATCATTATACACTTGTAAATATGTAGTGTGTATGTTGCAATTGTTATTTATCAAAAATTACATACGTATCACGTTTACCTGCCTTACTATTATTTGGCAATATAAATTCTAACCCGGTACCGCACGGGGGGTACCGCACGGGGGATCCCTTTCCGCATTGACACAAAGGCCATTAGGGTTGAATTTTGTTTGTAAAAGCGTTGGTGGATGTGTATATTTTATACAACAGATGTAAAGTTCAAAATGTTTCAATTTCAGGTCCTCTTCCCGGTGCAAAGCACGGGTACAACAGCTAGTATATATATATATGTATGTATATATATATATATATATATATATATATATATGAGTCTATATATGCTTTGCATTTTATAATTATAGATTTATTTTAAAATAAAGTCCAACTCTGTCTATCTAACTTTCGTCTAGTTCACTCAGTGACAACTATAAACTCACTTATACACTCAGAAGCACAAATATACACCGTGGGTGACTAGAGCTGAGTGAATCTCACTTGGTAAGAGTGGCTGAGAGTGGCAGGGGGTGACAAGTATAAACTCACTGATACACCCACAGTCACAAGTACCCAACGTACACAGTGGGTGACTAGAGCTGAGTGAATCTCACTTGGTAAGAGTGGGTGAGAGTGGCAGAGGGTGACAAGTATAAACTCACTGATACACCCACAGTCACAAGTACCCAACGTACACAGTGGGTGACTAGAGCTGAGTGAATCTCACTTGGTAAGAGTGGGTGAGAGTGGCAGAGGGTGACAAGTATAAACTCACTGATACACCCACAGTCACAAGTACCCAACGTACACCGTGGGTGACTAGAGCTGAGTGAATCTCACTTGGTAAGAGTGGCTGAGAGTGGCAGAGGGTGACAAGTATAAAGCACAGAGATTGCGGGAACGAGAAACGGCAGGAAATGACGCTACTGTCAATTAAAAGGAGTAAAAATAACCCTCGAAAACTGTAAGCTGACCTGAGGACCAGTTGGGTCAGCACTACTTTTTTTACAAATTGTTTGCTAAACATTTTCAGTGCCTACTCGATTGGTCCAGTTTTTTTGTCCAAATCTTAAATTTTTAATTAGAAACTTTATATCTAAGACAACAAGTATAAAAACATCCTGTATAGTTGAAAACAGAACTACAATTCTGTTTGGCACTGCGATAATCAAACAAACAAAAAACTGGCATGGCACTTAACGTGTTAAGAGGAGGTCTACGGTATTAATTATTTAAATGAAAACCATACTTTATGACATTCCTTTTAGCAGCAAACCTAAGCACTTGCTAAACTTAATGTTGTTTAAATGTGAACCAAATCCAGCATGTTAAAACTGAAAGGAATATTTAGGTAAAAATTCGATCAGACTTAAATGAAAATTTTTTGAGTCTGCCGGTTTGCTGCGACAGGGGTATTATTCACTTTTCTGCTCAAATGCTTTGCACAAATCCTTGGTTTCTCCTTTATAACTTTGGATTCTTTGATTTAGTTCCTCATTCTTTTATAAAATATGATAAATTTTTCATACGTGTCCATGTTTGGTAACACTTGAGTGTGCTATTGTCAACTAATAAATGATTCTCTAATGTTTCAGTATACATTTTGCAAAATATACCTTACTCTGTGGCTAACAATGACAGAATAAAAGTAGTAGTTTACAATTTCATCGGTGACCATTACCCCCTCCCCCATTTGGACAACCCAGTAAACAAGCCTGGGAATTGTCTTGAGCCTACGTAAGAATGAAAAATCCATACAGCAGTAAGTTCAATTATTTCACCTAGGACATTATATCCATCTTGTTGTTCTTTGTTTCTCTTAAGTAAACTGACAGACGTACACAACAGTACGATTCATTAGTAATAGGAAAACTTGTTGACTTACTAATACCCTACCATAATTTTTAAATTGATAAAATTCTGGTAAAGCAATATACCGTTTTAGTCTAATTAAGATTTAGGCCTCGTTCACACGTATCAACTTTCTGCCGTGCGCCGTGTATGGCACGACGTCGTGTTTATTCAATAGCATTGCTGTAAATGCAACTGTTCACACGTATCGACCACGGCGCCGCGCCGTCCACGGCGGCCGTGGACATCACGACCTTCTTCAAGCGACGATGCGCCGTCGCGCCGTATTCAACCTCTTGAACACCATGGTCTCTTATGGACACGTTCACACAGGTCGACGCGGGGCCGTCCCGACTCGGTCTAGCGCATGCGCAGACATTGTTTATTTCAGTGTCTTCCTGGATTCGAGAGTTGTAGTACATCCATCACAAAAGGCGGAATCTTCCACTTTTGTAAAAAAATTTAAAAAATAACTTATTTGAACAGTTCACAAGTTCATAGTATTATTTGCTATACAACATTAGTTTTTAAACAGTGAAGTCATGCCTTAAGTTGGGCCACAAAGCCCATTTGTAAAGATTAACCACATTTATTTGGAAATGAAGTCAGCTTACATAGTTTGTATGATACATAAAACACACCTTTTAGCGCAAAACCTGAGAGTAAGGCCTCGGGTACGATACGAGCGGCGAGCGGTGAGCGGCAAGTGGCGTGCGTCAAGTGGCGTGCGGCAACCTGAGCGTCAAGTAAGCGGCGGTGGTGGCTACGATACAAGCGGCACTTTTATAACGCTCATGAAATTTCCCCAGTTTTATGAGTCAGTTTAGTCGAAAATGGTAAACTATGCTTACCTGCAAGACGTATTGCAACTATTGTTGCTATCTGACTATTGTTTGTCTTTAAAGAAAAACTTGGGTTTTAGAAAAACCTTAACTCTAACTTTGTTCTATACTTTTATGGTGACTGAAGTGTTTTACAACTTCCATGCTGGTCATTCCACAAAAATTCCCTGGACTGCACCTCACGTATCGACCCATATCGCATGTTTGACTCACCTGAGCGGCGAGCGGCGTTTTCGCGAAAATCGTTTTTTACTTGGAACCGTGATCGGCACTGAGCGGTGCCGCTCACCGCCGCTCGCCACATCGTGGCCCCCACCCTCAACAAATTTACACGCAACTAAATGAGACCCGATGTCCGAGGTTTTTCTCAAACGGACTCATAAAACAGGGGAAATTTGATGAGTGTTATAAATGAGCCGCTTGTATCGTAGCCACCACCGCCGCTTACGTGCCGCTCAGGTTGCCGCTCGCCGCTTGCCGCTCACCGCTCGTATCGTACCCGAGGCCTAAGTGTTCTGTTTCTTTAAATAAGCCTCCTTGCACTTTTACTAACAGTTCATCGAATGAAGCAACTGACATTCGAAAAAATAATTATAAAATTTACTTTCGATCTTTCTTAGAAAAGAAAAGAACTGAAAAGAAGAACGAATGCTCCTATTACTGGCCTTTGCACGTTTATAGGGTGTACCCACTTTAGCTTATTACGCCTCCTTTTGCTTTGACGATGTAGCAAGTATAAAAATAGCTACTTTTGTTTGGCTATCCATTTTGACAGACTGAAGAAATGTGGTAAGAAGTCATTTTCGCACGGCCCAAGTCGTGTTGTTCACGGCGCGAGTCGTGTGGTCCACGGCGCCTAGCCGTGCACGGCGCACGGCAAAAAGTCGATACGTGTGAACGAGGCTTTAGTAATACCTAGGAAGAAAAATAAGTTACGTACAAATTTATTTACATTTATTATATAATTATATAAAACAATTATATATACAAAGTACAGTCTAAATCCCCTTATAATGGTACAAAACAGTATGGTGTTACAGTTAAAATACAAAAACCTATTTTTATACCTATCTTTTGGAGATGGGTAGATGTTATGTGAAACAGTATAATAATTTTAATATAAACTAGAAAATGAAATGTAAAAAGTATGAAAGAAATTAACAAAAAACCTGTACATTTATACAAAGTAAAGTCAACATAAAATAAGTGAACTGTTAAAAATGTAAGTTGTAAGGTCAAAGCATAATAACTTGAACATTCATCAAACAATTGCGAGACCTATATATAAAGAGTTTAAATATTTAATGCTAAAAATGTCCTGTTTCATGATTAAACCTATTTTATAATCAAACTGTGATTTGGTATAGCACCTAAGCTGTATTGTGAATAGAGGACTCTAGAAAACTTCATGTAAATGGAGAATGGGTGCTGAACCTCATTCAGTTGGATGACATGAGAAATGGAAAAAGAAAGCTAGCATACAAAATAGAAAAATTTATTTATAAAGTACTTACAATTTACGACGCCAGTGGAAAATTCAAAATGATGAGTTCGTACAAAAAATAACCTAAATCCTAAAATTAAGTTTTGAACAGTCCACTCCCGTCGAGGCGAAGGGCTTCATCAGCTGAGGTTACGTGATATGGCCACAAGTCAGAGACTTAACATAAACATTCATTCTGTTATCACGAGGAGCAACGAGATGAAAATATATCGAGCAATAAACCTTCTTCCCACCTTGTAGGCTTTATCTATTCATATTCTTTGGCTTGCATAAGATGTGGTTTTTACTTAGATAATAAAATGCTCATTTACAATATACCACATGTTATTTTTATCAATTTTATGTATTTGTTTATGTTTAAATCAGTTTATAAATGCAAGAGATTGATAATATTTCATTAAGTACAATCGTCACCGGGGCTTTTCCCACCATCGCAATATTTTTTGTACTGTACAGCCTAGCTAACTATTTGCTCAATTGCCTCTCTCCCCGGTGTCCAATGCTCGGCTGGCCTCAGTTTAGAAGTCCCTTGTGTTATCTTTGCAATAAGTTATCCGTGGAGATATGTGGTCAGTGCAGCGTGACGGGTGGTAAGTGGTCTCCACACCGAGGGAAGTTGGGAGGTATTGGCGGCAAATCTGCTTGAGTTCCTACGTGCAGCACGAGGTTCATACCAATCACAATGTGAAAGAGGAAATGACAGTGGAACAGCCAGTAACCTGCAGACAGAAACAAATTATAAATCAATTGTAATAATCGTGTTGGGGTACCAAGAAGTAAAAAATTGTGTTTATTGTTTATTTATTTTGGCATCGTTTATGAGCGTAGTCCAATAACCTTGTAGCTAATTTATTCAGGAACAATTTAATTAGATGTTGGAGAGAAAAAAAAACAAGTAAACACTGACACCATTTAGTCTTTTCTGAACTGTTTCAAGCTTTTTAAACTTGCTGTTTCTTAATACATTTTTTTAACAAAATATGAATAAAAGATTGTTGATAATCTTCGCTTCAAACCTTCAAAATGGTTTCCTTAAAATCAAATTAGAATTCTTCTGAATTTACAGAAATCCTCTTCACTTCATTGAATCAAAACTAGTTCTTTTCTGGAAAGTTTTTACAGCTTCTTAGTTATGGGGGTACTTTTTAAACATAAATAGCTTGGGTAAAATATACCGTTACTAAATACTTAGGCTAAAATAAATGTAAATACTTCATTACAGGTGTTCCTGAACGTAGTAACCCGAAAGATTTATTCAAATCAGTAGATGATTGAATTTCTCTCTATTGTTTAATCCAAAGCCAAGCCGTGCTTTGTCTTCCAATATGTGATTGATTATCTCATGTCTCTGAACATACCTGGGTTATCGGCTCTGAAGCGGAAGACGACATATCCATTGTTGGGCACAGCGATGGTGTCCTTTGCAGGAGGGAGGTTGTAGTGACGATCCAGCAGTCCTCTTCTATCAAGATCCAAAGCATGTTTCAAGTTGATCTTCTTGACGTTCTTATCCGGAGATCGACCCATACCAATAACGTTGAATGAGTATCCGTGCAAATGGAACGGATGACTCAGATTGGGCTGTTGTACTGTTGAAACAAAGTTTTTTTTTTTTATTGAATAGTAGTTAATACTGAAAAATAGTGATTAAATTTTTTTTAGCTGGGCTTAGTCACTACAAGAGTTTTAAGATACAAACATCTTTACAGCCACACCACTACATTCATCCATCAAGTCCATCATACAGTCAAGCAATCATCCATTGACAGGGACATGTTGTAAAAAATCAGCAAAAAACAAATAAAAACACAGAACTCTGATCCAACATTAAACCAAAAATGCAACTACTTTGCCCTCTCAATACATCACCACAGCTTCTACAACTACTTTGCCCTCTCAATACATCACCACAGCTTCTACAACAACAAACAATCTTAAAAAGGAACATCATTTTTCAATCATATTCCTGAAGGCTTCAAATAAGAACCAAATACCTTACACACCACACGTTAGATGTAAGACCAAAGTCCCTACTTAAAGATACCTTACTTAAGTTAGGTTACATGGAAAGAATAGGAGTTTTTAACAAATAAATCCATACATCATTGCTATACACTGCAAGCGTTATAACAAACACAGTTACTGACACATTCTTCTACTTAGATTGTTGTCTATTGTCTATTGTCGGCTCACCTTCATCGACCAGTACAACCTCGACCACGGCATTGAGAGGGATATCGACCTTGTGAGTGCACATGCAGTTACGACCACAGTTGGCTGGCTTGTTGTCTCCATTACAGAACATCTCTGGAGGAATATCATCAATCTGTGAGAGCGGAGGTGAAGGTGGACTGACGTAAGAGATCTCATCAACCAAACTGATGACGTGGTCACCAGCGCCAGGAGCAACTGCAACCAGTGATACAATCAGAATATAGCAGACACGAGGCTAGTATTAGCTGCTAATTGATTATTAGCCCCGAGTAAACGCATCATTAGGGAAAATAACAACTTACACGCTAGTATTTTACTCGCTGCTAGTCGCTTTTAACATGTTTGATAATACAAGCGCTAACAAGTGGGAAGGGTAGTCATGTGACCACTAGCGCTAGAAAATTAGCGCGCCACTAGCACTTTTAGGAGAGCGCTAGTGCTAATCGCCACTCACAAGGACAAAACAGCTGCTGCTTGTTTGTCAAGTAGAGTGGTTGTAAACTGTTCTTCCGCTACATGTTCTCTTAAAAGAGTATTCAAAGCACCAAGAAGTTCTCGCTTAATCAACTTATGAACCTACAAAGATCACTTTTTGTTGAGCAGAGCGAAGCGAAGCGAGCGAAGCTCTTATACTACACTCCTGCTTTTGTTTTACAAATACTCCTCCTGAATGGCTGAAGTGATCTGCATGAAATTTAGCACAGTCATAGTAACCAACCATGGGAAGGTATAAATCTGAAATGGTACAAATCGGACCACAGGGCTTTTCCCTATGTGAATTTAAACTTTTAGAAATTTAACATGGGCCTTATGGGCTAATTGGTTGCCATGAAAGTATTTGCAAGATAACAATAAAAAGGTAAACAAAAGCTGTAACATGTGTTTACCAATAAATCATCTAAACTAGCACATTGCGAAATAGAGAACAAAAGGGAAGAACAATCAGATTGATACCGTTGAGCATTATTTGCTACAAAATGTATAACCAATAAGGATTATGAACCATTGGCTTTTGATGTTACAAGTAGACATTTTTCATTTACGTGAACCAGACGTACAATTTACTTTGAATACTGCACATAGGGATTCCAAATTATGTGAACCAAATACATCATTAACTTTGGATACAGCAATTACACATTACATTAACGTGAACCAGATGCATTATTGACTTTAGATACTGGAAGTATAGATATCCCATTTACAAGAAACAGATACATCGACTTTGGATACTTCAAGTAGACATTTAATATATGTAAACTAGATGAACTGTTGACTTTGATACTGCAAGTAGACATCCGATTTACGTGAACCAAATGTATCATTAACTTTGGATAGGTACTGCAAGTATACATGTAATTTATGAGAACCAGATGAACCATTGACTTTAGATACTGCAAGTAGACATTTCATTTACGTGAACCAAATGTGCCATCGACATTAACTTCAAGTAGACATTTCATTTATGAGAACCGGATGAACCATTGACTTCGGATACTGTAAGAAGACTAGACATCCCGTTTACGTGATATAAATGCACCATTGACACTGGATACTGCAAAGAGACATCTCATTTACGTTAACCAAAAGGAGCATTGACTTTGGATACTGTAAGTATACTTCCCCTTTACGTATAACAAATGTAGCATTACCTTTGGGTTCTGCAAGTAGACATTCCATTATTTATGTAAACCAAACGTACCATTGAATAAGGATTCGACCAGGAGACGTCTCATTTACGTAAACTAGATTTAGCATTGACTTTGGATACAGTAAGTAGACATTCCATTTACAACAGACGTAGCATTTACTTAAAAAATGATTAATATACCTTTATACCATGCATCCATCGTTGACCAGTAGTGACTGGATAGATTTCAGTTTTAATACTAGATAGGCTATTTAAGCGGTTAACATGGCTGTAGTTACAAGGTCCATTCCATACTTGCTCCGCTCAATATTGCAAGCATACGACTGCATTGCACACCTAGTTAAGTTTCTTTTCACACAACTCCTTTACACCAATTCTTAAAATTTGTCTCAAAACATTGCGCTTTAAAAGAACAGATGACATTTATAAATACTGAAGTGACAACTGTGTCCACAGAACAGAGGGGCGACCATGGTCCCCCCGAGAGCAGGAGAAAATAAAAAAATAAGTATTTCATAACCATTTAATATTATTATAATTAGCTTTGTGTTGATACCTAAAGGAAAATCTCGGCATCGGCACCATCGGTTTTTAGGACAAGTATCTGAACTAACAATCAACGTTAAAATGTGAGTACGGTACCAGGATTTCTATACCAACAGGACAGGGGCCTATAAGTGCCAACGATTTGACGATGACGACAAACGATACACGCGGCGGCATCGGACGAATTGCGCGCGCAGCGGTTGTTACTTTCATTATTTTTATTTTTCTTAGTACATTAGGTATAAGTGATACTCGAAACCAACATTAGAAAAGAGGTCACAGGATTGAGGGAACATCCCGTGAGCAACTGTTGCGATCACGGCAACATAGTTTTGTATTTCCCGCTATTGCGATTTTATTCCTTTCGGTAATAAACATAGCGTATAAAATATTCATGTACTCTTGACACTTGACCATAGGATATTGGAGGTGATTCTTCCAAAATATAAAGTACATTTAAAAAATATATAGAGTTTTCTCGGTCCTAATCAAAATTTACGTAGTCCACTATGACTATTAACTAAGCTTTTGTTCGGTCTTCCAAATTCTACAACAATTCATAATGATTCCAGTATAGAGATCAGCTGACATTCTGGTCCCCTGTCCCCATAAGTTTATTTGATTTTGATTTACAATTAATTATTACAAATTACAATACTGTACTTGAAAACAATATCATTTGCTGTAAAAGTATTATTGTCAAACTGCTTTCACAGATCCACCGCACCCGTAACAAATTCATAAAAATAGACGAATCTTTGTATACAAGATAACATTGCAGTTCTTCATGTTTACAAGTATTTTTACCATTTTGATTGTCTCCTGCAATTGTAGCAACATCCGTTAACATATTCCGCGGTCTCGGCGCTTATATTTAATTTTTGTTTCAACAAAATCGGATAATTCATCTCAGATATATTTAGGCTCACACTCGAGTGCACATATTTATTTCCCGACAAAGGTAATACAAAAACTTTTCATCACTCTGTTTTCAATATAGTTCAAAAGACAAAAACAAATAGTGATCATCTCACCTTTCCTGACATAAACATTACTTTCAATACACAAACATAAGTTACAACTGAAGTTCCCGGTTAACACAGTTTGTTGATGTTCAATTAGCTGAATTTTACACTAAAATTTTTTGTACAACAATTAATGGATTAAGAAATATCAGATATTTTTTTTTTAAGTCTCATGAAGTAGTTTTTCCAGTGTGATAAATGTATAGTTTATTACTACATTTAAAAGTGACCTATTTGTGGCGAGATAAAGTTTAAAAGAGCATGGGAAACACATTGAGAAATACACTATAACTGTACTAAAAAATAAAAATTATATTCATTAAAAAAATATATAGGCCTATTCCACTTCAAGTTGAAAACGAGACCATCATACATTTTCTCCACTTACCTCGAAGCACTTGTGACAGATGCTTTAATTATTGTTGTTTTGGGTACAAACACAATAAACATTTTAATGCGTTTCCACCCTTTTCATTTTTTCAACTTGTTGAAATATGTCACTTAAGATTGGTCACTTGATATCACACTCGCCCACCATTATTATTAATGGACGCAAACAAATATTATTTATCTACTCCAACTTAATTCAAACTGTTCACCTTAATAACTTATGTATTTAAAATATTTAACTATCACTAAAATATATATAACGACAAGACACAACTAAGAAACTAACAAAAAATTAACACCTGTCACGGTCAGATAATGAACATCGACTGAAGTAAAGACAATGTTTTGACACTTGAGATTACATATCAATCGCCAAACAAACATTCCCCCTTCCCACCCTTCGGTGCTTGGGGTGATGTTATTGGCTGCCATTGGCTCGCCCCCCGGGTCCGCTGCATACCAAAGCAACTGGACTTTGACTTTCTCTTTCCCCACCCCCCTCGTTGTTTGTCACAAGGGCGCTGACCTCTCACGTACGCACGCAACACGCAACCCTCACTGAACACGTAAAATAAATAACCCGTACTGGAAATACTTTCGCCTGACCAGAAAAGCTAACGATTTAAAACTAGCGAATATATTATCTATTCGTTGTCTACTAAACTAACTGAGTAGAAGTTATTTCCAGCTCTTTTTAAAAACTAACTAATAAAATAGAAGTTAGCCAAAAAAACCAACGAATAAGCGCTATTCGTTAGAATTTCTATTTGTTATTCCCAAGTATGTTTAAAACATATTTTTACACTATTTTGTAACACAAAGAAAAGAACCAACCAAAACAAAATAGTATATTGTGCATCAAGGAGGGTAAGTGATAGTATTTATGCCAACATTAAAAATTAAAAATTAATAGGGGTCTGCGGTGCACCGAAAAAGTCGGTACGGTACAAGCTTAATTACCGTCATCGGTTCGGTACAGCATTTTACACGGTACAAATTCGGTTCGGTTCGGTACAGCTTATTATAATAATCAGGGGTGCCCATCCCCCCCTAGACTCATGACGCAACCCCCAAAATTGAGCAACAGCCCCCCCCCCCCCACCATAAATGAGGTACACAACAAATGAGAAACATTATTCCCCCGCCCAGCACTATTTGTAAAACTAAAAGAAGTTTTATACATTTGTTTAGATATTGAAAATTCAAACCCAGTTAATCTGTATAAATAAAGTTATGGTTTTGTCTGTACATTGCTCAGAATTATACATATTTTGGGTTATTTTTACGTTTTATACATTGAAGAAGTTGAAACATGTCTTATCTTAATTTATGTCCGTCTGTCACGGCCCAGAAGGCATTTTACGCAGCCTACTCTAAAGAAAACTAGAGTACCGATTATGATTCTAATGGTTTAATTGTATTCACAGGATTGGCGAGAGTGTCCTTAGCCATTAAAATATGGCCTCACTATTTTGGAAATAAAATAACGGACGATCAAAAACCCAATTTTTTGTGTTTTTTCTAGTTTTTTTCTCCATGTTTACTACATACGTCATTTTAGCGAATTTCCCATATAGGGAATAAGCTATTACCGTAGTACTCATGGTAAGACCTGGACGCGGGACCGATTTTTTTTTTCGTTTTGAGGTCCCTAGAGGCCAAAAACACCATCCGTTCAAATTCATATATATTATATATATATACTAGCTGACCCGGCGAACTTCGTATCGCCTAAGGTTATAGCTAGACTTCTCATCCCATTGTAAATTTTGAAGCACGTTTTTCGTGTCTAGTTCATGTACGTGACATATGGGCGCTAGTGTCGACGAAACTTTGTTTCTAATAATTTAGGGTTAATTTCTTGATTTGTGCTTTACTGTTTGGTTATATAACTAGGGGACAGGTTATTGTTTATGATTATATCGTATTATTTGTTTAAACGAGGTTTTAAATGGCTGTAATAACGGGAAACAAATTGTAAACAAAACACGACCTCTACATAAACCGTACAGAACTAACAATAAAATTGTCTTCAGTTGTTCCATAAGGATGAGAAATCTACTAAGGGAGTATGTTTTTATCTATGGTTATAGGTTTCCCCTAAGACAGACCGATGGAAAGAAAGTACCGTTACGTTTAATTTTCAAGATGATCTCGTTCGCATCGCTCAATCACGTCCTGGTTGAAGTTCGTTCGCTACGCTCGCTCACCTTTGGGTTGGAGCTCGTTCGCTACGCTCACTCACCTTTAGGTTGGAGCTCGTTCGCTGCGCTCACTTGCCTTCAGGTTAGCTCGTTCGCTACGCTAACTCGCCTCCAGGTTGAAGTTCGTTCGCTACGCTCACTCACCTTTTGGTTGCAAATTAGCTGTTGTCATAAATGTAAAAGAAATAATAGTGCTGCACCCTGTTGGTAATCCTTGTAACTTTAATGCTATTGAACATCATAGAACAGAACCAACTTGTTTAATTGAAACAGCTGTTAAGATTCATTAATTCCATTTCTCATAAGTTTAACATAAGAAACTCCAGAGCCACTGGGGCGGAGCCCTTTTAAGAATTTCGAAACGGGAAATAGTTTACGTCCGATTCGCATACCTACAGAATTTACACACCAAATTTCATAACGATCGGTGAAGTCGTTCCGGAGGAGTTTGCAGACAAACACTGTGACACGAGAATTTTATATATTAGATATTTATATATATATATGTGGTGTTAGCGCGATAACTTAAGTAAAAATGATCCGATTTTGATTAAATTTGGTACAAACGTGTAAACCTACGTTTATTCAAACGAGCTCGCAAACCAGCATAACCGGACCATGGGAACGGGGGTTTATGGGAGGTTTTATGGGGCAAAAAGTGATTTTTCCCATTTTTGACCCCAAAATTTCATAATTTCTCTCCAAACCAATTTGTAGAGCTTAAAAAATCAATAATTTTGTATATTGAAGCGTTTTTGTATGCCCAACGGTTACAGAGATAATTTAAAAAATTGTAAATTTAAAATTCCCATGTTATTCTTATGGAGAATAAATAAACTGTTGAAGTTTGCTAGTTTATGGATATATTTAAACCAAATTTTGAAATTTTGTTTATTTAATACTAAGCTATCGTTATTGCAATAAAAAAAACACATCTCTATATCTTCCCTGTAGCAGAAAACCTAGGTACTCACTAAAATTAATGTTAATTAAATAGGAAATAAATCTGACAATTTTTAGGGAATATTTTAGTAGGCCCTACTGTAGAAATGGAAATTCACTCAGTCTTCAGGTTTGCTGCGGGGAGGATATTTTCGTACTTTTGATTGACCTACCTAAAAATCTGTTGTACTGATGTGGTTGGAAAAGTTCTTCTGGTCTGTAGAACAAAAATCTGAAAGGCAAGAAGATTTTTACGTCAGGTCTCTCAGCAAGGATTCCCTCGTCCACAGGCTTGGCATTCTTTAGCTGGTTGATGCAGACAGCGTCAGTTCTGGGACGGTTGCAAATAGCATCCAGAGGGTTCAATACCTGCACAAATTTGTATTTGTAGAAATCACAATGAACAAGATGTTATCAATTATTATCAATTATCAATCATTAAGATGGGGACGCATGTTGCATGTTGCCTCCAAGAATAAGGATTACGGTATTATAGGTGTATGATAGGGATAGCACCAGTAATATTTTAAATTTTTACCATGCTTAGTAATGTCCTCTCCATTAGGAATATATCATGGACAGTACAGGACACTCACCATCACAATTCACAACACTAGAAATGGTGAGCTAGGTATCCTGCCATTACACCACCTAAAGCTGTTTCGCTGTTTGAAACCAAGCCATCCAAGATCGACAGAAAACTACACAATTCACTGCCTCAAGACATGCACACAACAAGAGAGGGAACTTACTGAGATCGGCACTGCAAGCATAGCTCCTGGACTAGCCGTTTTATTCATTCAACAAAATTTTCAATGAAAATCTAACTAATAAAAAATAACTGACTATAAATTGTAATACCACGCTATTGTTATTTTCACACCACTCCGGTCTGACACTATTTGTAATCTTAATGATTGTGGTTGTGACTCACCACTCCTTGGGGCAGGCCGACATCGTACGTTGGTGGTTGTGACGTCGGCTGGTAGGGTCCTCGGGCGTACCTCAGGATAGCTAGCTGTTGTACTCTCTTGTTTCCACACTCTCCTAGCCCTCGAGCCTGAATCCAGTAAGCTCCCACAGGCTGGTCGGCGTTGATTACAAAGTCGTATCGTTCTCCTACACATAACATAACATCAAGTTGTCAAGTGGTTTATTTTGGACTGAAAACCATTGTTGAACATTGAACTACCTATTCTAATGTGTGTGTGCTTTTTAAAGGAACCCACATCACTGCCACGGATTTGTAGTCTATTGCGCTCACACCCCTAAAACACAGGGTTCTCCCTATGTATTTGGAAAAATAGTTCTAATGTAGAGAAAACTACAAACAAATCTTTAGTCGTCGTAAAGTATCTTTAGCCATCTTACCTGAAAATGAAATGATGGTATTAACAACAACGGGATGGACTGGCTCTCCATCAGAAGCGATGAGTATGAGTGGGTGTCCCTGGATGGTGAGCTGCGCAGGACACACAGTAGCCAAGGAGTTGATCATGCGGAACCTGTATCTGCGACCTGGAGTTATGGTGAAGGTCTCTAGAGGAGTGTTGGTCTGGTAGCCTGTAGTTGGGTCCTGTCACAGGCTCAGAGTTACTTATGGTCATTGAGTGTCCATACAAAGTTTACCATTGACAAATAAAGAGCGTGCACTTAAAGGATGGGTTTTATTAAGGAAATGCTTTGGTTAACATGGGTAAGAGGTCTTAATCAAAATCCATAAATCTTATGGTTTGGATTCAACACGATTTACCTCAACTGTAGTATATTTGTTAATGAGTGTCATGACACAAGCTATAAAACAAAAATGATCTTTATGAAGTAGGATAATGCATTACAAAATAGACGTTAAAAGAGTGGGGTATTCCTGTTGATTTATTTCATAATTTGAATTGTCACACATTAAACAAACAGATTTATAAAGGTATAGAGTTTTATAATTCCTTTTCAAGACCTTATATATAATTCTGTAAGAGTAAACTTTTACCAAAACATTTTGGACGTCTGGTAAGTAGCATAAAAGTGGGAGGGGTCTTAAATTAAAGGTCTTGACCCCAGGGACTTGGGAAAAATCGCAGAATTCCCATAAAGTTACCAGAAAGAGACATAACGTAAAATGTTCTGCATAAGAATAGCATTAGAAGCCTTTTACTGCTGATTTTTGTTTACTTCAATATAGCTGACCGTGATTTATCATCAAGCGCTATGTTAACATTTACATTACTTATTTGCCAGACAATTCTGCAATGTACTTTATAAAACCAGGGATAAAGTTACCTATAATAGTTAAGATTTTTTAGATGCGTTATAGAATGTGGAAATAAATTATTTTACTGAAAAGCTTTTTTCAAATTTGTGTATTTTTAACGTTTTACATGATAACCCCATTGACTAAATAATTAACGATTCAAGATTAAATGGAAAACTTCTTCTTTGTTTTTATTTCAAAACATATGTTCTACACTTTCTTTATTTTTAAATTTGAGATTTATTGTAGCGTTTAATCAATATTTTGTATGAAGTGGAATCCTCAACGACTACTCTTAGAAAATAACCTGGGAATAAAGATGGAATAGTTTCGTACAGAAAATATATATTTGCTAATTTACAGGAAATATATATTTGTTAATTAACAGGAAATATATATTTGTTAATTAACAGGAAATATATATATTTTTTATTAAGTAAGTACTGTGACATGTTCCAATGGGAGGAAAAACAATATCGTATGGAGATTTTAAACAGGTACTGTCTGTTGCTGCAAAAGAGTTAAGAATCAGCTATGATTAGGCTAATTTGATAGAATATGTAACTCAGTCGCACCTTTAAGAGGAATACCACCACATAAACTTATACTACTAATTGTAGTTTTTTTATGTTGATCAGAAAAGTAATCTAGGGTTAAGTTTGGTCAATGGGATGCCTTTATACACTAATGTTGTTAAAACTTTTACAAAAGGAGTATAAGCTTAGCAATATTAACTGGGTAGGGATGCTAATTTAGCGAGTTTGGTCAAGAACTAAGCTTACCTCAACACACCTTTATTTGCCTTTTCAAATTTGAAGAAGACAATTTCCAAAATTTCAATCAGAGAAGTCTTTTTTTATCACCATTAACCACAAGACCAAAGCTACTTTAATAAACCAGTATTTATTCACAAACAATTATATGTTTGCTGCCTTTAGCAGAGCTAAACCTATGTTGTGATTCGAATGATTTATTAAAAATAACATGGGCAAACAAAGACAAACAACAAATTGTTTTTTAGCCAAATGATATGGCGTACAGGGATACATATTCTGACACAGATAATATATTTCTTAGTTTGTTTAAATATTAGAATAATTTGTTTTATATTATTGAGCTTTTTAGGGACATATGTCCCTACACGCAACTAGTCTAAATATTAATTACGTAAGCCAATTCTTTGCGTCAAAATTGTGGGTGACTGGGAAGTCGTAGAATCGGGAGGGGGCTCAAATTAAAGGTCTCGATCCCGTGATGGCGGGAAAAATAGTGAAATTCCCAAAAGTTTAACAAAACATTTGATACAACGTAAAATGTTCTCCATAAGAATAGCATTAGAAGCCATTTACTGCTGATTTTTGTTTACTTCAATACAGCTGATCGTGATTTATCAATATTATTAAGCAAGTAAGCAATATTACATTTGGATTATTCATTTGCCAGTCAATTCTGCAATTTTGGGGTTGTCATATAGGTATAAAATGCTTATTGCAGTTATGGGAGAGGAGGACACGGTTTAAGAAAATTTGGTTCTTTTAATCTTTTAATGTATAAAGTTCTTATTGTGTAAAAAATTAGTTGATGTCATAAATACCAACAAATAATAGTTCTGCACCCTGTTGGTAAACCTTATAACTTTTTAATGCTATTTAATATCATAGAACCAACTTGTGCAGTTGAAACAGCTGACAAAATTCTTTAATTCCTTTCAAATATGAATACTCATAAGGTTAAAATTGGAAACTCCAGGGCCACTGGGGCAGAGCCCGAAAGGATTTTTGAGATAAGAATATGTCTATATTTTAATCGGTAATGTAAGCTATCACCATGCCAAATTTCAGCCCAATCCGACCAGTAGTTAATGCGTGATTGAACTTCAAACAAACACACAAACTTCCACATTTATAATATTAGTAAGATAGATATAGATAAGTGAACTGTTTAACAATTAAGGGAGCAAAGTAACCATATAATATCAGCTGATGTCTTGTACAGGTAGTAACTATTTTTATAATGCCTAGGAAGGAAGCTACATTCAATTTAAAATCTAAATAGCTATAAAGCCTACGATTGTATATGGTTCTAAATAAAGTCCATGACTTATGATAGCCTAACCATGTTTATACCTGGAACTGTCCCTTTCCATTGATGAGCAGTGTCTCCGGATCCTGACCCGTGTTGGCTGCCAGACGCCCAGGGAACCTCTCCATGGCATCCTCGTGCATCCAATCACTCAGCAGCATCACGTGGGTCGTCAGGTCGTAGTCATACAAGTGACTGTTGGGGTCTTGAGACGGCGCCTCTCTCACGATGATGCTGCCGTAGATACCGTCTAGTTTCTGAGTTCCTACACCAACAAACATGTATCAATGAACAACTTCTAAAATGGTAGGACGATTCAAATAAAAAGAATGAGTTGTAGCTTTGTTGTAGGTATTTAGAACCACAGTTAGTGTCATCTCATTAACAAGCATAATACGGCCATAATTAAGTGTTAAATAAAATTATCTGTCAAACTACATGATAATGTCGATTGAAAGATGCATATTTGAGGTTCCTAACTCAAACAGTAAGATAATAAAAGATAAATAAAGATTTAAAAAGATAATGGTAGTTTTTATTAATAAGAATAATACATAAACATTGGGGTGTTGAACTGTTGAATGAGATTCTACTTATAAGTTTCGTGGTAAAAGTTAAAATTTGTAGGTAACGAAGACAAAAACTTAATAAATATTAAAATCCTTATTTCTAGGTTGCAGAGTAGGTTGCTGAAGGTGAAGGTATCGAGTATTAACAAAAACTTCCTCATCAAAAAAGCTTTAAAATGATGTAGGCCTACTTATAATAAACTGAAATCATATTGATTGCATAGTGAGATTCATGCACCATTTTGAAAAAAAAACATGCTAAAAATGGGTAATTTAAAGAATAATGCTTTTTTTTACTTTACTTTTCAATGAAATGGCGACCATACAAACAAAGTAGGTATTTTAAGCCGTATGAATGGAGATGAGTGTAGGATGAGTGGCGCGATCTTGTAGTCTTGTTAGTGACTAAGGCCGACATAGTCCTTAGACACAGCTGTTAATTAATAACCCATACAGCTGGACCTACAGTTTATAGTGGAATCCGAACCACATTTTTGCCTTTGGTATATACGAATTATTGGTCTAATTATCTGGATAGTACTGCGGTTTGTCGGATGGTTTACCATACTATATTATAAGTGCAAACGACTGATGTTTATGGTTTTTCTGATTTTTGGAACTCCTGAAATAATGTTTTAATTTAATACACGTATTTTTTTAATTCAGGTACCGGTATTACAATAATAATCACAATTTAGGCCTAGCTAATGTGATAAGATAACACAGCCGAGTCCTGAAAATAAAAAAATATTCAGTCAGTCACAAATATACAGTCAACCTTGTCTCATGTTATTTGGGATTACTTAGAAATGCATTTTATTTATGATTTGGGCAAATGGAATGTGAGAGCGGCCATGAGGAGTCCTGATCACAACATCCCCAATTCTCAGGTTCAGTCCAATAAAGTTGTCTAGAAACCAAACCAGTTGAGAAGAATAAGAAAGCAGTATGTCCAACGCATGGTGTTGCGGCCAAAGAACGCGTCAATGAGTGAATGGGTAATAATGCAGCTATGATGATATGAAAATGGTATGTCCCGGCCGGGGGATACACAACAATCCCTTCTATCCATATCGCTAATAAAAGGTCTGAGGATTGGGGCCCCATGAATACAAAACCATGAGGGCCGAGCTTTACTCTTGGCTTTTTAATGGGTTTACAAATTACTAGGCATGCGGCCTCAGGTCCGCCAATTGAGCGGAGTAAGCAAGCATCGATATAAACAAATAACCTTCTTTAAAAATACAATTTGTCGTTTCCAAATATACTATGGATTACAACATAAAAACAAACAAAATTGAATTTTATTGATCAATACAAACCTCATTATTCAAGCCTACAGTTATAAGCAATTGTCTTGAGTCTTTCAATCTCTTTTTCTTTGCTTGCCATTTGCTGCTCTTATTTATTTGCTTTCGATATAGAAAATGGATCGATCAAGTGATCATATGATTATAACCTCGATGGTTATAACTCCTAATGCTACATAAGTCAAGTCGAGAGAAAATTCTGACTTTCCTAGGTCCACCACAGCCTGATATACAGTACCAGCATGCAGCTTGGCTGCGATGTACCGAAATCGCACAGGCAAGATTTAGTGGAAATTGCCTTCGAGAACATTTGACACCATTCAGTTTAAAGGAAGCAGTTGAGTTGTTGTATTAATGTAAAACCTGTAGGATTGTAGTAAATATCCAACCTGACATCAAAATACCAACATGCTAGTTCTGTTGGCTGCAATAATTAATCTTATTATGGGAAAAAGGAGGAATATCGATTATCATATGACGCTTGGTTATAACTGTACTCCCGTACAGGCCAAGCTGTCTAGGCTAATTAATTATTGGCCTACTTTTCTAATCCTAACTGTATTTCTTTACCGACGACTATTTATTAATTTAAGCTAAAAATATAATTCAATACAAGCTTAGTTAAATATTTACCTACTTAAATAGTTTTAACTACTGAACCTCTGTACAGGCCTAGCAGTCACCGCAGTCGGTTATGTCCTATTCCGCCCGAGTTTTATTTCGCCCGTAATCTAATTAGTCCTAGTTCGCCCACGGTCCCAGATTAACCCTTATAATCATCAGTTCTACCTGCGTCAGGAGTCCTATTCCATCCACGGAGGACCCCCCCCCCCAACTATGTAAAAGCCCTCCCCTACCCATCACCAGGTTATCCACCTTCGACTACACGGTTATTTAAGCTTAAAATATTTGTTTGACAAAGCAAGCGAATTTCCTTTATAGTATTAATGTAAAGTTTAAACACAAAGATATCTGTAAAATATTTATACAATTTACTGTCCATGTACTGTTAGTTGCTGTATGTTTGTATCCCTATCCAAAATGTGCAAATAAGCAATTTAATTGTTTAAAATATTGCGCTTAACGTCAAACAGAAACATATGATAACACTGTAATCCAAGACATGGCCAAACAAAGGCCACTAGATAGCTGCTTCTAGTGTTAAATACCCAACTGCACACTTTTGAGTTTTCTTTATTATACTTCGCCTATTGGGTTTGATGATGATTGGAGTGTCGAATCGAACTCGATTACCATTTGCCTTCTTTTATGTATATTTATCGTCTGGTGAGATAACACCATGAAAGCACAAAATATGTTTTAAGTGTTATTAGAAGTTTTTTTTTACTTTTCGTATACAATGTAATATACTGTAGTAGTTTACGCAAGGAAAACTTTAAGATAGTTTCGTTTACTTTATTTACGCGACTACTTTACATACGACAATATTTTAATTACTTATATCACTATTCAAAACTCCTAAGAGAGGTTATGTTTTCGTTTAAGTTATAAAATCATTTTATGACATGTTGCCATAACGGACTTATTAACTTTCCTCAGTCAAAAACTAATGTAGATCTTAAAAGTTTGTTTGAAGAGAGCCCACAACTGTATAAATTCATTTGACAATGCAACAGTGCGATGGCTTTTGCTTATTTTTCAGCCAGTAAGAAAGATATTCCAGGAAAAGGACCATACTGTTTCAAAATTCAAGGACAGATTTATCGTTCAATCTCAGATTTGTTGCCTCAACATGATGAAGACCCCGTGTATGGCCAATTGTACATTATTGACACATCAACAGCAACAGAAATTCGTCAAAGGCGTCGAGAAAATAGTGACTTAAAACCTGAAATATTGTCAAAACTAGCTGAAATTCTATTAGAAAATCCATTTGCACAAATTTGCAAAAGAGCTTCGGAAGAAATGGTTGTACAAGGTGACAGTGAATTAGAACTTAGGTTTGTAGACAGGATAAATATGGATCGTCATAGGTATAATAAGCCTACTGTAGATGAAATTGCAGGCGTCTTCAATTCATCTGAAGGCGAACCTCCAATGAATTTTTAAAATTCCAAACAGGGAAGCTTTTATTTATCCTCATTAACCACAAGACCAAAGCTACCTTAGTAAACCAGTATTTATTCACAAACAATGATATGTTTGCTGCCTTTTCATGTTAAACCACTGGAGTGATCCAAATTATTTATTGAAAGTGACATCAACAAAAGCAAACAAAGAAGAACAACAAACTGGTTTTTACACAAAAGATATGGTGTAGGGATGCCTATTCTGACACATAGATAATGTTATTCTGAGTTTGTTTAAATACCGGTATTGCAAAAGGTTGTTTTCCATTTGAGCTTTTTAGGGACTTATGTCCCTACAAGCCACTAGTTTAATACTAGAAGCAGCTAACTAGTGGCCTTTGTTTGGCCATGTCTTGGATTGCAGTGTTATCATATGTTTCTGTTTGACGTTAAGCGCAATATTTTAAACAGTTAAATTGCTTATTTGCACATTTTGGATAGGGATACAAACATACAGTAACTAACAGTACATGGACAGTAAATTTTATAAATATTTTACAGATATCTTTGTGTTTAAACTTTACATTAATACTATAAAGGAAATTCGCTTGATTTGTCAAACAAATATTTTAAGCTTAAATAACCGTGTAGTCGAAGGTGGATAACCGGGTGATGGGTAGGGTAGGGCTTTTACATAGTTTGGGGGTGGGTGGGGTCCTCCGTGGATGGAATAGGACTCCTGACGCAGGTAGAGCTGATGATTATAAGGGTTAGGGCCGGCGCGCACTATCCCGACCACGACCACGACCACGACTCCGACTGGTCGGATACGACCAGTTTTATAATAGGAATAAATGGAACAGCGCGCACTGGTCGACTGGTCGGACCCTGGTCGGGCCCTGGTCGCACGACCAAAATTTTCCAGTTTGGTCGGGCCCGACCCGCTGGTCGTTGCAGCCAAAAATAGCACACAATGTAATGGGACGACGCGCACTACCCCCGACTTGCCTCCGACCCGACCAGTACACCACTCAACCCCGAGTATTCCTAGACTAATCAAACGGTGAGCACTAGTTTTTTGCGCCGGTCTGTGAAGTGACTCATTTCGTAAAATGTCGCAGGGTTTTGACACTTTTGAAACCTGTCTTCATATTGACGTAGCTCTTCATAAAATGTTGCAAAATGCCCTTTCAGACCTAACAGTTAACATTGGATATACCCAGTATAGTGTCTTCTTCCGCTTAACGTACTTACAATACAAATGCACCATAACAACTACTTCTTCAACAATCATCTTGACACTGAAGTTTGTAAAACATTCCTTGCCTTGGTCGGGTCGTGGTCGGGTCGTTCTCT